GTTTGGTTATAAGAGTACTAACATTATGCCCAAATCCAGAAGAAAATATCACACTGGGGAAATCCACAGACATAACCTGCTTTGTGGGATATAGGAGTTCTTTTATATACTCTTAGCATCTCCTTAGAGGAAAAGGTCGAATAGAAAATCTTGAAAATGTTGAACCCACGTTCCCCGGTGGTCCCAAATCTCTAGTAAATGTTGCAGCTCAGGTTTTTGTCAGAGACATGCCTCTGGCCACAACGAACAATGGTTTTCCTTCATGGTGACTCAGAGGAAGAGCCAAAATGTGAAGGATCTCTTCTTGTACACCACACTTAGGCTAACTCTTTGTTTAAACCCAAGAATATATGTTTAATCCAGTGTTTTTTGTTTAGCCCCGGAATATATGATTCACAATATGAGAGTAAATCTTTATTTACTAAAGATTGAAATAGAATATAAAGAATATAATAACTTTGATGGATTTTGGCTTTAGTTGATCCGTTGAGAGGTCATTTAAGTATTTTTTATACTATATTCAATTTTATCTTCTAATAGAAGGTGCTCAGTGCAGAACAGTGTGTAACAAAGGCAAGATTGTGAATGAGCTGTAACCAGAGTGGGCCTGTGATTCACCAGAACCAAAGGCTGCCGACTACTGGGGGCTTCGAGTGGGAATGTGGCTGTTTTTCTGTATTTTCTTTGACATAGTAAAGATGTATGTGATTTAGAAATCAGATCTGGCAGTATCCTGATATGAAGTGATAGAAAGATAAAGAATATGAGTTAATACCTTCCCAGAACCAGCAGGGAATGCAATGGAATCTGCGAAGCAAAAATTCTCTAGGTCATAGTCTTGTGATAGCTGTCTGTGGGGAAATGCCATTTTTGTTAACCCATTGTGTCCTATCATCCTATATGTAGAACACATATGAAGACTGCAGTTGAGCAATAAACATACCATTTATGGTAACTTTTAAATGAATGTCACATTGCTAAGATTTCACAGATTCAAAGACTTGGGCTTTAATGGATTAATGAATTAAAACTCGTAACTTCCAGGGTTTGCACAATTAAAAAAAAAAAAACTTTGCAGGTATTAGAGAAATGGATCACAGAACCATGACCAGTCTTTCTCGATTTTACCTTTCCTACCATGGAGGAATTCTTATATGAGGGAGAGAGGGAGAGAAATTTAAACCATCAGTCCATATATGGGAAAATGTTCTATCCTTGCTTCCTTGTGCAGAGTTAAGAGGAGTCAAGAATATTTTCTGAAGACTAGGAAAGAGCTCAAATCAGGAGGTCCAACAGAACCAGGACATGCATGTTGTGAGTGCAACTTGCTTCCTGCCTCTAATGGTGCCTGCACCACCGTGCCCTGTTAGGAAGGGCCAGACCCGCATGTGTTCTTGAAGTCTGCCCTTCAGGCTGCCTCCTCGTGACCTTGCCACTTTAGCTTCCACAGTCAATGTGCTTCTTCCAGTCAGCCAGCATTCTCTAAAGCCAGACAAGAAATCCTGCTTCCAGCTATCTACTCTGAATTTCTATCTAATGAAATCCTGCTCTGCCAAGCACAACATTATACTTTCAAATGCTTCTCTCACTTAAATATCCTGTAAAGTTTGTATTATTGACCTCATTTGATAGAGGAGGGGCCTGAGGTTCTAACTATCTTTCCTTAAGCACTGTCATTAATTCATAAGATGAAGGGCTGGGCTATGAGCCTGGTGGGTGCTGCTGGATTCTGAAGCCTACATTGCTCCAGAACTCTGGGGTGTTTCAGAGAAGTGTTTTCTCCTTGGAGCGAGCAGATTTCATTTTGTTAGAGAAGGCAGAACTACTTTCACCCAGTCTCTTCTGGGAAGTTATGTTCTGAAACATCCTGTTCCATACTGTGCTGATGATCCAGTCTGCCTCAGCCACTTGAAGACCGTGTGCAGAAACGAGGCAGTGGCTGGAAACAGACTGTTAGACTAGGGCTCATGGAGACAGCAGCCATGGTCATCAGAGATGGCAGTCTCTTGCGTGTCCGCCATCTCAGCACTCTTTATCTCTCAGCTATCTGAGCAGCTGCTAAGAACCTCAGAGAACAAAGGATAGTGATTCTGTTGGTCAGCAGTGCTCCTCCACGTGCACTGCTGAAGTCACTGGCTGCCTCCTGCCAAGTTCTTGGGGTAAGTCAGAGTCTGATGGGTGTTGGAGAGGTGATGTTCAAAAGGAAAAAAGAACACTTGGAAACTTTACCTATCTCCTGTATCAGAGAAAATGTAATATTTACTGCCCCTGTTTGTGTGTGTTGTGACCCCCAAGTCAAGTTTTGTTTTGTTTTTTTGAAAAAGGCAGAGAGAGAGACACAGAGAGAGAAAGTACTCTCTCCCATTTCTGACCCTTGCCTAGGTTCATTTAAACATAGGCAGCAGTGGCTTCTCTTTTCCCTTTGGGATGATCCATTGTGAGTCTACATAGAAATACTCTCATCTACATGAACCGTTCTCCCCTTCTTCCAGTAATTGCTCACCCATGTGGGCACTCACTCCCTGAGCTGCGTAGGGCCTCTGAATTCTTAAGGTAAGGCTCCAGGTAGACTGCTGGTTGTTGAAGCTGAATCATTAGTTGAAGTCTTGCCACTTCTAGTCAAGATTTTCAGTATCAGGAGAAGTCCAGAACATTTATAATTTCTTACTTGAGAAAAGGGAACCTTTTTTTGTTTGTTTGTTTCTTGATATTGCCACTTTTCAAATATGTAATTGAGTAAGGACTTATGCCAGTTTTGTAAAGTATGCTGTATTTTCTAGAGACTTAGAAAATATTGTAGAACTAAAATAATTAAACTTGTTAGGAGCATTACAAATAATAGTCTAATCAAGAAGTGTAATATATAGTGGTGAATTGCTAATTTGACCTCAGGATTATGCAGCAGAGATAAGAATATTTTCATTTATATAGAACTACTTATCTGGAGGATCCCTCAGTGCTGTTGCAGCCGTGTCTATTATTTGGTTTGTTATCACAAACACTATCATTAAGCCTGTGAAATGTATTCCAGTACAACTTTCTGTTTTCAACTGCTTATAATTGTGGGGGAAGGAGAGGAAGGTTGCAGATTTTCTTCCATTGCTGACATCTCCACTAGAGTAAAAGTTATAAAATAACTAATATTTGGACTATGCGGGGAGGGAATAGTGCAAGATCTCCTTTAGTCAGTCCTGACTGCACTAATCTTATGAAGTGACGACAGGGAAAGGCCATATTTGTCACTTCCTAGCTCTTCTGCCGTGCACAGTGGGAGAGTCTCCTAAGGACTCGACCTGGGGAGTAAGTGATCTGATCAAATTCCATCAAACCACATTGCCTCCAAGGTTGCATACAGCCGCACTCTGGCTGCCATGGCCTTGTGCGGTTGAAACTGCAGTGCTGGTTGAGTTCCTGTGGTTAACAGAAATGGACAAAATTACATCCAGACCAAGGTGCCAGGTTTAACACACTCTTTCCCTTCCAGAAAGGACCAGGGAAACTGTCACCTGCAACAGTAAAGGGCATTACAATCAATACCATACAGACCATTAAAAACCCATTTTAAGTGAATCTACCCACCCAAACCTAGTAAAAACAGTACCTTCTGTTTATCTTGAGGGCAGAAGAGGTCAGAGCTGACCTCCTCCTTAACCAGAGGGCTCGGGTAAGTGTGGCATTTGTCCTGACCAATAACACCAGGAGATGGCATTGATGTTGGTTGTGAAGATGAGTAATCGGCTCATGTCAAGGAGCAGATAGCTAAATGCGGAGCACAGGGAGCGACTTGAGATTCAGGCTTGAGGAAACAAGTGAGGAAATAGCGTACAATATAAAACCCACAAATATAGTCTACTTAATGTGAATTTTTAAAATCGGCATTTATGTTATACAGTTAACATGGAGTGATGAGGAATGGAGAGAAATTACCAAATTAGCGAGCAGCGATTAACTCAGAAGTAAAATTATATCATTGAAATTGGAGGTTGTTTCACATAGCAAAGGGGGAGGATATTACTAAAACCTGGCCCAGTGTGTCCTATTCTAATTGGAATCTGTTCGTATAATATGCCCCATGCTTCAGAGTGCATAGTTCACAATTTGAAAAAGTGTTATCAGTTAATACAGTTATTTTTCCTGGTTCTCCCTTTAAATTCCAGTAAGACAGTGTGAAACACATTCCCCCAAGGAATTGTGTGCCACACAGAAGAGTGATTTTGTCTGTTCATTAACCTGTGAACTGTCAGGTCCCTTTGGAGAGCGAAAGGAGCAAGTCACTCTAAGGTTAATGCTTGTTTGGTGGAGATGCAGCCTCCAGGGAGATAGGGAGGGTGACCAGGCCAAGATGCTCAAGACCTGCCGGTGAAACTCTGCACTGTGTACAGATGCCAGATGCGCAGGGCCGGGAGGGAGGCTGCCGAGTACTTCCTCTGGTCAGAAGGCTTCCCAGCAGCCATGTGGGGGGCTGCCGTAAGTATATAGGGTTAACTGCCCTATTAAAATAAGAAAATGTGAGTGTATTTTCAGCAGTTTATGAGGATTTTTCCTTTTAAACTGGAAAGGCATATTGATTTCCTGCATTTGTTTCCAATGGATGAAATTTTTCATTGAGTTGGAAAGCATTTTATTTTAGCTGGCTTTGTGCACATGAGCACAGGCACATAGCTAACCATAAGGTGAAAGCAGTTGTTTGTTATGTCTCCTGAAGATACTCATGTAATTATGCTGACATTCAAAGATTGAACTCAGTAGCAACGGGGGAGATTTCTAGATAAATCAGATCCAAGTTATGATATCTCTTTAATTTTGTGTTATGTGGAATAAGTGGAGCTAAACACAAGGAACCCTCAGAAGGTCGGAAGTCAAGTTCAAAGTCTTCATGAGTCAATATCTTGACATACTAGCATACTATATGTTTAAACTTTGTACCTTTTCCTGTCATCCTTGGATTCATTGTGGTAAAAGCTTGTTTCCAACAGACTTTGTTTCCTTTTTATCCTCAGATATATTCGAATAGTTGGAACTCACAATACAGTGAACAAGATTTTTCACATTGTGGCTTTTGAATGCATGTTTACAAACAAAACCTTCACTCTCGAGAAGGGGTTGATAGGTGAGTATTATAATTACTTTTTTGTGCATATACTTAGATGTTTTGTTATCAATGTTCTGTTACTTCATTAAGTGATGCTAACAAGCTCTCACTAAGGAGCCTTGATTGTCTGAGTGTTTTATGACTGATTGACATAGGGGTTGGATAACATTTTTAGAATCAGTCAAAAAATAATACCAATAAACTTAACGATATAATTAATGCACTAACAGTTGAGGACTGAAAGTATGTTGGCGTTTCAGTGAGATTTGCTGTGTAGGGCATGCTTATGATAGTCAGGCGATGCCTTTTATGCCAAAGACTTTTCTATATTTAATGGTAGATAAGATTGGGTAGGATGTCTGTGTATTATTGATCAGATGCTCACCCTTTCCAAAGCTTGGCAGATATTTTGGCCTTTAATTTCTTAGCTGTGGAGTGTCATCTTTTCATGGACATGTCAGTCCAGATTTGGTCTGCTTAGTTAGCTTCTCCTCAAGGAAGTGCCTTGCCATAATTTAAGTAAGACTGAATTGACTGGTTGTCATTGCTAAAGACTAGTTACTGGGTGAGAGATAGCACCTGATCTGATTTGGTTTGGTGTTTGTGTGACTATTTGCTGCTGTTGCTTTGCTATGAGTTCTATCTGGATGCTGTGTATAGTCCCTCCTAGCACTTGACATTGAAAATATCATGGGTAGCTTTCTTCCTCTATACTCACTCTTTCCCATGCACTCATTTTTTTTTCTCAACTCCTATAAGTATCTGGTTAGATAGCTTCCTTTGAAAAGTGACTCCCTATGTTCAAGTGTGGTGGGGACATGAAGTGCCCTTACCTTGTTATACCTGCAACAGAACTCTGTCTATACAAAGGGCTTTATTCTGCCTGTCCCGCTAAGGTCCTGTTCATGTTGATTCATATCCTGTGGTAAAGGCCTGAATGGGAACTCTGAGTATAACTTGGAAATGTTGACTGCCATGGTCACAGTCCCAATTTAACACTTGCTATAAAAAAATCCTTTAGTTATGAGAATTTTGGAGAGCAACAACAATAATAATAAAGAAGCAAAAGTAGAAATGTTTCCATTGTATAGAGATTTGGAAGAGTTCAGTTAAAATAATTTTATTTTTCAGCCTTGTCAAGAATTTTTTTTACTATTAAATATAAATGTGATTAATTTTTGTGACTTTCAAGTGATCTGAAAATTTTAAAAAATTGAAATATTGCCTGTTTCATCATCTGTTAATAAATGTGTGGCAATACAGGGCTAGGAAAATGGTATTCTTTTACCTGCTGCCTGCATTCTTCTGTAGACCTTATACCTCACAGTGTATGTGGTTGAATCAAGAGCTTTACAGTCACAAGATATGTCAGAGTTGGCCACTCATTTCAGCCCCCTGCCACTGGTTGCACTTAATTTGTTGAAGAAGTAAGGTTTTTTTGTCCATTCTATAGAGTTCCTAACACCTTAAATTTTGGCTATTGAATTCCATGATGATTTCGGCCTTTTCTTCTTGCCTTTCTTGTAACTTGGTAGTTAGAAGTTTAATCAGATTTAACAATTATTTTTGGTAATAATGCTCTGTAGATTGCATTCTGTGTGTCTGTCAAGATATTCCTACCCATTAATGACTGTTTCCTATTTGGATTGCAAAATAGTAACATTGTAATTTAAACTTTTCTTCATTTAGTAGGTAGAAAGAAGAAATTTCTATTAACACTCAATTGATAATTGCAAGTTACAGTTTTCCCAGGCAAAGAAGGGCAAATATTATATTCTTTACCAGTTTTCAAAATGAAGAAATACTTTCTCAGCATCCTGCAAAGATCATCAGTGAAGTTTATTTGTGTAGGGTTTTAGGAGGGAAAAGGTACATGTCATTTAATGCTGAATGATTCGAGTATTTGACATATTTTATTCACCGGTAGGTTTTAACTGATACTTAAATATTTCTGTACCTATTCTCCTCAAAGTATTTCTTGCTTCATTTTAACATGAGTTCTTTGTTTTCTGAGATGACAAAATTTACCAGGTTTCTCTTGTACATTCCCTGCCCTTGATTTGGAATCAGCTAGTTCTTCAAGAAACCCTGTTTGTTTAGTGGAAAATGCTGTTGAGAAACCTCAGTGTATAGAACTATAAATGAGCCAGAGTATTAGTATAAAAGTATTAATAATATCATGAACTTTATGATTTCTGAAAATAGTTTAAAATTCTTGGTTTTTGGCCCTGAAGGTATATCCAATAGAGGATGTGCAAAAAGTCACTTGAAAAAAGCGCTGTGTGTGGTTATGCTACCATTCCAGCATTCGGTGTGGTTATCTGCCATATTCCACTTTCAGTATTTACTGATTGGGTTTAAAATTCTTTGTTTCGGGGATGGATGTTTAGCCCAACAGTAAGACACCTGTATCAGATGACCTGGCTTTAGTAACCAGCTTTGGCTCCTGGTTCTAGCCTTCTACTGCTGCAGAACGTGGAAGGCAGCAGATGACGGCTCAGGAAATGGACCCCGCCATGTAGGAGACCAGGGCTGAGTTCTTTATTCCTGACTCGTACCTGGACCAGCCTTGTCCAGTTTGGACATTTGAGAGTTATACTAGTGGCTGGCAGAGCACTCTCTCTCACTCTCATATTCTCTCTCTCTCTCCCTCTCTCTCTCTCTCTCTCTCTCTCTCTCTCTCTCTCTTTCTCCCTCTCAGCCTTGCAAATAAGTAAATAATTTTCAAAAACTTTCTTTTACAGTTGTGTGAAATACTTAACATGATTCCAAAACCTATTCTGCAAAGTAGTTATAGTCAGAGAAATCAAGCTTCTTTCTCTGTCATTTCTACTGTAAGTAATCTCTTTTCCTCTTTTAGTTTTCTTGAGTTATTTTCCATTTTTAACATGGGAGGAATCTGTATATATGTGTATTTAGACATGCGTTTATGTTTTATGTCCTCCCTCAATGTAGTATTTGGTAGCATGCTGTCTACTGTACACAGTTTTTTTTTTCACCTTTTTTTGGGGGGGTATGGAACATTTACCCTGGAGCTACTTATATGCAAAGATATTTTTCATTCCTTTTTCTAACTAAATGGTAATCATTATATGGTTAATACGATAGTTTACTCTGGTTTTCTATTAACGAACCATTTGGGCTATTTTCAGTTTTCTGCTGCTATGGAAAGTGCTATTTCCTTGTCTTTTCCTATTTTTGCCAGCTTATCTTTGGGGTAGATTCTTTGGTAGGAAGATTCCTTGATCATATAATTTTGCTACATATTGTCAAATTCACCTTCAAAGAGATTAGACCATTTAAAATTTTTCACTGGTGTTGTGTGATAAAAAACAAACTTAGTTTTGCCAATAGAGCATATTGTCAAACTACAGGGCTTCCGCCAGTTTGATAGGTGAGAAATGATATCTTAGTGCAGTTTTAACTGCATTTCTGTTATGCAAGAAATTGAGCATCTTTTCTATGTTTAAGGGCCATTTGTATTTTCCCCCTCTTTTAAATAGATTTTCTCTTCTCATGAGTCTTCTAGATGAATAGAGAATATGCTTTAGTGAGACTTGAGGGAGCAGTAAACGCTTTATGCTGATATTAGAGTGTGGCATTGAACAGTACAGGAGGCTATTTTCCTTCCTAAGCTATCCTGGTTCTTCCAAAGAATGAGCTCTTCTAAGTCCCTCTCTAACCTTAGCCTTGGCTCTACCTGTCTGCCTAAGTGACTGTAACTAGAGCATGGAGTTCCAGGCTCAAAATTCAGGATTCTTTAACCATTTTAAAGAATGGAAGAAGAGCCTGTTAGCAGCATCAGGCTGTCCCATGTTGTGCTAGTAATTCATATAAGGTGACCTAAAAAGCAGCATAAGCACAGGAAGTCTGTGTTGCTGAAACTGTCTCAGCACTCGTTTTAGGGTTGCTGCCTGAACAGGAACATGGGATCTCATGCCCCCTTCATTACCACCAAAAGCCTTCAGAAAAGGGCATATTTTCCTCCTCACTCCCATCTTTCAGCCTCCTTCCCATTTCCTCTATTGGCAGAACCAGAAATCAGCCAGGTAAAGGGAGCCTGCGACCTGTTCACAAAAGGCTAGCCAGAGATACAGTGTGGAGCAAAGAGGGAATGGAGCTAAAAGCAAATGACTGGCGTAAAGGCAAATAATGAGAAAGGAATTCCTACCCAAGGGAAGCCTACCACTTGATTCAAACGTATTGGCAAGGCATGTAAATATGTGCAGTGAGGTTGAAAAGGGTACAAACAGGGCATGGAGATGAGTTGGATGTCTATTTAGATGAAACTTCATGTTAATTTGAGCTGAGTCTTGAAGAATTAAGCATTTAGCCTGAAGGTTAAAATGACCACATTGGAGTGACTTCATGAGTGCTCGCTCCGCTCCTCATTCCATCTTCCTACTGATGAGCACCCTGGGAGACAGTGGATAATGGCTCACATGGGTAGGTCTCTGTTGTCCACCTAGAGATGTGAGTGGATTTTTCAGTCTGGCCTGGCTCTGGCCATGGTGTTGTGGGAATTTGGAAACTTAAAACAGCAGAGGGGAACTCCCGCTTTCTGTTTCTTTACCTCTCAAAAAATATTAATTTAGTAAATATGACAGAGCATTACAGAAGTGCTGGCTTACATTGTAACAAATACAGGTGCCACTTATTTCCCTTGGGAGAACCAAAAACAGAAATAGAAATAGGGTAGTCTGTGGTTGCTACTGTCTAAAGGTACTTTGAAATTGTCCTGGCATGTTTAGGATGCTGTAAAATCTCTAGAAGACTACAGAGTTGGAAATCTGGTATGTGAAGGGCTTGGGCATCTGATGGATTCAGGATAAAATAAAACTTTTCTGCTTTTCAACTGTGTTTAGAAGAACAAGTGACCCCTGAGACAGAAACAGAGAATCCGGGGAGTGGAGAGTTCATTAGCATATGAAATTGTTAGAAAGTGGCCACGAAGCACCCTTCTTGGCTTGCCAGAGGAGCTATAAGGACTTCCTGCAGTTTCCTCATGTGGCACTGGT